TTGATATGATATTTCATTAGAAGAAATCTCGATATACTAATATCGCAACAACTAGCAAATGCTTTTCCTCGAATATTATACATAACATAAGGCAACAGCTATCTCAAACGCGCGCGAATGTCACGCGATAATGTTGGTTTTGCGCGAATTGTCGCTGCTCTACGTCAGCGTAGCTGCCGCTTCCACGTGATCGTTAATCGCGATCGGACCGTGGCTTATCTAATTATTAGACAAGCGACTGCTCGTGATGCGAATAATTATACATAAGCCAAACAACAATTACGACGTCTTACTTTCGTTTGACGTTTCTCTTAACCCTTAGTCCCGACGGTTCTTTTCGGCACCTTTAATCCCGACTCATGGGTCGTTTGCGTCTTTGCGTTATTTGGATCAGTAAAAACGCTTTAAAAAATCTGAAGAAATTCATGGAGCTTCTTGCAACCTTCAACTTAAAGTCCCAATCATAATATTTCGATAAAAATTATTTTTTTATATAGTTTGTTATTAAGAAATGGAGGTACCTAAGGAACAATCACTTGTTCGTTTGGATCGCAAACGACCCATGAGTCGGGACTAAGGGTTAATCTCGCTGAACACGTTTTTAGAGACCGGACGCTATTTTTTTGTTTTCTTGCAACCATGGTGATCTATTTCCCATAAATAAAGACGGCTATTTTATAGTCAAAAATTGCAATGCATGTTGACTAAATTCTACATCGTATCTTTGAAGTTAAAACTTTTTTGAGACGAAAATTGGTAAGACGAAGACGAGAATAACTCATGTTTTAATGCGAAAAGCGAGGCTTGCGTCTCCAAAATGTTTAATTACGTCGGCGCAAGATTTCCGTCACGTGGCGCGCATCGTTTACGGAACGAAATGAATTGCAAACGCGAAATTACGAATAGCGAGAGCGAGTAGAATTCGCTCGAGGCGCAGTTATGCATCGCATGTCGCGCGCCGTATAATTAAGCCGCGATATTTCCGCCGAATACAAAACATGCAATTATCTCATCTGGATTACAGTACCGTGCTCCTTAATACTGAAACCTACATACATTGTACGCGGCTTGCGACTATAAGATATACCGCCCGGCTGGTCGTCCTGCAATTTTCTGTTCCTTCGTTTCTAGAGCGACGGAAAGAGAATGGGATATATAATTACATAGAATTGTGCAGTTATTTGAGTAAAGTTAACATCATGTTAAAGGTAACATCTCTCTTGCGTATGCAAAGTGAAATTCGTCCTATAAGGACGCGTAAAACTTATCTTCGCGCATTCTTTAATTAATTATCCTTTTAATTCGCAATCATATTTTTATATTTTTTTCACACAATCTGAAAGATTTATCGTGATTTGTTATGTCCCTATAACAATGATAAAAAAATAATCACTATTTCAAAAGAGGAAAACAGAGAAAAAGTGAAGCGATTTATATATTTATACCACATGTATAATAATTAAAATTTATACAAGAAAAAAATGTCTAATAATTGTTTTAAAACACCGAGAAAAAATGTATTGAATTCGAGTAAATATTGATTTCAATACTGCCTAATATCCATCCATCATTTATTTGACACTAATAATATTGATTTGATGTGGACAATATTTCTTCGATATAAGAAAATCTTTCTCAAGACAGGTAAATATTGATTTGTTTTAAATAAATGATTGATTAAGCAGAATTGAAATAGATATTTATAATTTAATAATTTTGTTTTTCAACGAAGAAGCAAAAAGTATATCGATAGTGTCGTAAGTTGAGTTTTATTACATTCATGCATCAATTAACCGTGCAAAAACGGAGAAATAATTTATTAGAGACAAGGAATACGAGAGAGGCACGGCTTTGTTCGCGCGTTGCATATTTCTATATATTCCCAGAAGCAGCTGCAGACATACGACATGTGGATCGCTGGATCTATTTTAGTCCTTGCCACGATTTGCATCGCGCACGAGGACGCTGCAGCGAGTTTTTGCGAAAACCCCATATCGCTCGTGGCACTCCGTTCCGCGAACGTCATCGATATAATTAATGATTAGTTTGCACTTATAATCGCGCAATTACTCGGAATCTTTTTTTCCTTCCTGATCGATTAATATAAAAGAAGAGCCACCGCTCGCTGATGCGTCATCCTTCCGGATTCTTGCACGAACGGGTACGTTAGGATCAAAGGAAGATGATAATCATCAATGTTTTATTGATCGGCTTCGATGTTTAGTTATATCAATAGCGCAATTTATATAGAGAGATGGGCATGCGATTAAAATGTCTTGTATAATCTTCTTTTACGATTGGGAATAAGTATGTCATTTTTTTATTATAAGTCTAAAGTCGGGTCTTATAATATGTATCATTAATTGCAAAAAAGTATAACACGATATTAATCAATAACCATGTAAATTATAAGATACAATATGCAGATATTTTGCACATAATAATAATTATTATTTAATAATCGCATAATACAAAAGAATCATGACATGCAACACATAAACATCAATAAATCTTATATACTAAATTGTTTTATGTTTCTTGAACAAATTCTATACATATATCTATCGCATCTTTGTGCTAAGAAAATTAATTATTATTTTAATTACTTACGTATTTTAATTGAAACATACATTTTAGAGACAGATTTTTATGTTTTCTTAGAAAAAGATCTGTATACCTACACTGGAAAAAATGTGTTAACTCGACTAAATCTTTCAACTAAATTACTATATTGTTATAATTGAGCATATAGTATTAGTATTTAAGTCAAATATACGTTTTGTTATATTAAATTTAAATATCTTCATTTAGTTGGAAGATTTAATCACAAGTTAACAAATTTGTTCAGTGTACGTGTCATATAATTTTGTAATCTCGTACAATGATCGGATAACCCGCTTTCTTCCAATACATCCGCCGATATAATGTCATTCAATATCCGAGAGTAAAGCCGCTCGTAATGATACGGTGGATAACTTCGCAGAATCGAGCTCACAATCTTCACCCCGGAATAAGCCGATCTAGTTTTAGTTTTGTTATCGTGATTGTTAACACGATCGACACGAGAGACGAGACGAGACTTGGTGTCGACAATATAGCAGGTAATCTCTCGATCCCGTAACCGGCTTTGTCACACAATGCTAGAGCCTCGATCGTGCGCGCAGATATTGCCCGAGGACTTCATTGTGAGGATCGAAGGAGAACGAGGGCGTTTTCTCTCGCGCGCGCGAGCGAAATTTATATTCGATAAGCCAACCGCGACGTGACGTTTAACACCCGCCTGTTGCGCGACAATTACTTTGCTTTACGGTTGCCGTAAATTAATTTTAATGATTCGCCCGTTATGATTTATTACTCGAGATCATATACATATGCGCCGGATCCGCTTTACAAATGACTTGAAAAAAAGAGAGAGAGAGAGGGAGTACACCTATTTCGATGAAGCACCCCATACATATCTAAAAAATCTTGATTGTAAAAACGTAATAAATTGATAAAAACAAATTTTTAATTCTTAGCTTATATAGCATTGTAAAAATATGTAATACATTACATAGAAATATGTAAAATTGCATAAATAATTAAATGTAAAGTCACATGATAAATAAGGAAAATGTATGCAATTTTATTATTTATGTTGTAATTTTACACTTAATTATTTTTATGTAATTTTACATTTTTTACAGCGTATATAATAATTATTTCTTTTAATTATTATTTGGTAAAGATTTGAAAAATGTTTATTACGGATCTAGTTTTCTTAAGGTAGATTTTGAAGAAGATTATTATGATTTTAATTGTATTGTGGCGATAAATGCCACAAGCATATAAAATATATACGAAATAAGAAATATACAAGACGTGTGTTAAGAATATCGCGACCGGTGACACAAAACAATAAATAAACAAATAGGCGACTAACATGACGAAGGTAAATTTTGATTTCCGAACATAATAAAAAGCGAGAGTACCTCAAAATAATAGATAGCCTAGTCACCTAAAAATAAAAATAAGGTCGTGGAATGATCGAGAGAAGCGAGACAATGCGCGGCCTCGAAGAGGCAGATAGAATTTGACTCGCGTTCGCGTAATACGGTTTTTCTCGGTGGAGAGTAAAAAGTTTGTATTCTTTGTGACTCGAATAAATGTAGTGAAATACAATATACTTTCCCTAAATTATTATTCCGGATAAAATATTCTCTCTTGATTCGCGATAGTGGCGAAACATTAATTATCGAACAAGCACGCGCTCCCAAAGTATTTATAATACATTGTGAATAGGATTCTTTCTTAAAATATGATTGTTAATTGTCACCCTTGCGAAGAATTAATAATCACACAGAGAGAATTTTCTCTTAGAATTTACCCTGAAAATCATGGTAATCATAGGACAATATGGTATTGGAAGAATTTTATAAGAATCTCTGATTAATATTTATATAGTAATAAAAATATTAATATCTACCACAATAACATAAAATATGTTCGATTAATTTTATTACGTATATAGTAAAATTTACTGTATAAATATTAATATTTTATATTTTTAGGGCAAATTCTAAGAGAAAATTATATACGTGCATATTTACTGTAAAAGTATATTGATACATTCGCACATCAGTATAGAGCGTACACGACGAAAACGTGAAGAGAAGTAGAATCGCAGAACAATAAAGATACGTTTTTTAACACCTTTTTTATTTCTTTATCACCTGTCAGATACAAACTTGAACTTCGTGCGATAAAGAAATCTCTCGTCGTCCATTTTTAAGACCACGTGCGTCAACGGAGAAATAAAATGGAAATCAATCGGCGAAGAATGGCCGCCATTGGCATAAATTATCAACCGCTCGTGAGCTCGTATTGTTCTGCGGAATTAATTAATTTCTCATGCGCGTCGAGGCGTCATCCGCACCGTGTAATCATCCGTATAATCGATAAGTCCATCTTCCATATGCTGCCTCTAATCGACATTGTTTTTCGCTTTTTTTTTTTTTTAGGATGGTGCTAGTGGTGGGCGGAGTGGTCCTGCAGGATGAAATCCCCGCGGACAGCAGATCCTTATACGCGGCCCACCCGGTATATCGCGAGAGCGCGGCCCGACTGCACTCGATATCGGCGAAACTTGTGGGCCCGATGGGCCTCCTCTACGTCCAGCAACGAGAGATGGCTGCGACTCTGCCGCAAGACAGTAAGTGCCATGTGTTCTGTTTGTGCGAGGCGTTTTTTGCAGTTCGGTTTGTCAACAAAAAAAATGATGCACAAGTGCGGAGATGAAAAAGAGCCTCGCGCGTTCGAGAGAGTTACACAAACGCGCCGACGATCATCACGAGAAATGACTTGTCTGAAATGAATCCGGACAGGAATAATAAATCTCTCGTCGCGATATATAATGAGATATATAAACGGTTATCGTACGCGCGCACAATTTATTGACATCGTCGCCGCTAAGCAATCCTACGGTCATTATATGTAAGCTCGGGAAAATGCGTGTTTAGATAAAACACATTAGTCTCTATATAGAAGACTATCGCGTTCCAGATAAAGTAACATGGTCGTGTATCTTGAAAACCTATCATTAGATACGGGAAAGATGATTATTTAAATAATAAATAATAATTCGTCACGTTTATAAATTGAAGTCACTTATAAGAGGCGACTTTTTTTTATATATGATAATTTTTTTCCCTATCTTTATATGCGCGGCGAAATAATTAAAAATGTTAAGATCACAGGAACGTTTAATTAACGCGAAATTTTAAAGAGGCGAAATCTCTCGTTTCGAAAAACAATCCCTCGGTATTTATCAAAGAACATGTCATTGATATATAGCCGCGGGATCTCCGTGTTATCTCTCGACATGTTATATCGAACTGTGTTACCGGCAATTTTTGCGATATCGACAAAATTGCAAAATTGACACAACCCGCCAATCAGCTGTGATTACACTTTAATTATAGAATAAAACAAACAAACGTGCGAGTTGATAAATTGACGGATGCTGTTATGGAGCGTTATTTCGCTTGTTATCGGAGCAAATTACAGTCCGATTTTTTCGATAGTATAACTTTTAAAAATAACGATTTGCCTGATTGCTACAATAAAAAAAGAAATAAATTTCACGCTGAAGCATATCTCTCCATATTGCTTCGTTAAATCACGGCAACGTGTCGCAATAATAACTTAATCTTTCTCTCTGTGTGTTAAATCTTTATCACGGCGTATTAAAAAAAAAATATCGTATAAAAAGCGAAAATACATTAAACTTGGAAATCAATTGAATTGCATATACGTCTCACTATCTAACTTATTTCTTTCAATTGCATAATAATGATTGAAACGAATCTGAAATCGTTTCTCGCGTACTTGAGAGAAATCTTGATATCTTTCGTAAAATAATGAGCGATAGATGTATAGAGAGATACTTATAGAAGTACAGATCTATTCGGAAATTGCAAAAATTATATCTTACATAATCGTGGAAAGTTTCTACCGCATCGGCGAACAATCCTTAACAATCTGTAGCCTCTCGAAGTGCTGTATATCTGTCTACCGCTGCCGCACTAACTATTCTTTTTCGCTTTCACAGAGAACGTGAACATCCTCGGTTCGGACGACATGACCACGTGCATAATCGTCGTCGTCAGGCATTCCGGTGAGTATATTTGAAAGTACAATCGCGGTCGTTATAAACTAGCCAGTTGCATACATAAACGAACGTTTGCGCGCTTATAAGAGAGAAAAAAAGAGGTCGGAATAACGCAACGACGAAGCGCGATTGTCCGATCTGTGTGGCGTCATTGAAAAATGTCGGGTGTCTATAATTATCTTTCGCAAAAGCCTCGTGTGCAAGACGTTCTAATATTCATGATAAAATCAGTAAGTTGAAAATGATTTCTTCTAAGCGAGATATATATATGCTAGAATCAGCAAAATGTCGCAACAGAAGAAGCTTAATTCGCGCAAAATTCTTCAATTGCCATTTTATCATTTTAAAAGATAAGCTTTCAATCAATTTAATTGTTTTTTCAAATATATATTTTTTTGCGATAAATCTATCTATGAAATTATTTAATTATAAGCACATTGAAAACAAATTTTATTGAGTTAGAATAAGTATTTATTTGCATACTGCCTAATAAATCATTTATTTGAAATTTAATATTGATTTTATGTGAAACATATTTATTTGATATAAAAAATGTTTTTCAAAACAGAAATATTTATTTGTTTCAAATAAATGATTTATTAGACAGTATTGAAATAAATATTTCTTAATTTAATGATTTTTTTAGTGCATCTAAATGTTTTATCAGAATTGAATAAAAAAGAGATAAAAGATCTCAGCATGAAACTTGTGAGAAAAAGAAAAGAAATAAGTAAAAAGACATTCAAAAAGAAAGAAAATGAGAAATCCGTTCACAATCTAGTGTGAATCAATCGCGGAACTAACGAGCTCTTACTCAAGAGTTTTTACTCTTGAAAAAAGATATCCCTAAATCGAAAGCTGTGTCTTTTTGCGATCATCTCGAAGTTCTCCGATTTTATGCCGGTTTTCATTTCCTTTGTCCACGGACGCACAATAGGTTTATTTTACCTTCGGGATCTACTAATTATCATACGACATAAAATGCCATTTCTTTAAAAAAAATGAGGCGTGCAAGAGAACCAGTTCTGTCATTCGAACACGAAGAGGAAAAATGCTGATTCAATATACGATTCATATCACAAAGTCATTGACATGACTTGCTAATCTTACGATATCAAGTTCGAGGAGAGCTTCGAGGAAACAATTATGTATTTTGTAAAATAACAAGTTCTATTTGTACAATTTTCCATAAGAAAAATTGTTATGTAAGTAACGTTCAATTGAAAACGTAACAGTGTGATTTCAAGTCTTATAAGACTTATAAAATTTATAGTAAGTAATTTATATAAGACTCTTATATCGGATATATTATAACATATATATCCGACATAGTGAAAGACAAGAAATTTATTTTATACAAAAAATTAGAGTTATAAAAGAATTTAAATTTTATATATATAGCAAAATAAAAAAAAGACTAGACTGTTATTATAATCTTGCGTGTTCTATTGAAATGACTATTTCCCTAACAAGAGAAGCGTTTCTTCTTCGACTTGACATTTATAACTTAACAACAAATATGAATCACAGACGAAGCTCCATAAACGTTGTTTTTCCGCACAATAACGTATTTCATCTATGAAGGAACCCCATCACATTGTGCTGTACATCTCGATAAAACTATCGAGTACGTTCTCTTTAGCTTTCTCCTGCTGCGGCGACAGTGCATCGCGACTCGAGCTGGGTGTCTCCGATCATCTTAAGGTTGCGCGTGAATAATGGTCGAGGTAGAAAGCGACTTGGAAAGTACGTAATTAAGTAACACGGTTCGGAATATAAAAGTACATTTTTATCGCGAGTTTTCCCTGTCTCTTGTCTTGCGCAACCGCGTCGGACGAGAACGTTCAGAAATTAATTATTGGAAAAAAAATAATAATTATATTCTCGCCTTTATAGAATATATTAATTAATAACGAGAATGTGCATATTTATGTATACGCGAGTTGAATATTTATAATATCTCGATATCATATATCACTGAGAGTCCGCGCTAGCATTTCTTTTCGTTTCGCTCCGTTCCACTTCATTTAAGATGTACGGCGATAAATCGCCTCCAGCGAAACCGAGATCGAAGACGCATCTCTCGAACGCATCCTGAATCGTTTCGGTGCATCGCGATATATAACGTGAGCGTTTCGTTCGCTCGATGCAACGATGCAATATAAACGGCGAGAGACCTGATACGCGACCTGACTCGCTCGCGATAATTACTACGCGGTAATTAGCGTGCCGGCTCGGTAGCGATGTTTAAACGCTCGGAAATTAATTTCCCTTTTAATCGGTGCATTCTTAAGGAAAGGAGATGCGTAGCGATCGCGAGCGCAAAGATAACAGCGTGCAAATGGCGATAATTCTTTTTCCTTTTATTTACTTGGATACCTCGACGTTTCTCTCGATTGGTTTTTTAACAGCGATATAAATAAGCTGTTAATGTATATTATTAATGATAATAATAATAATTGATAAAGGTAATGAGCACAAAGTTTATCCGTTCTTGTAGTGGAATTTGTTTGCAGGCGAACATTTATTATTAATGTTAATTATGTTTAATCATAATTTTAATGAAGCAAGCATATATTCTTTGCATTTTTTGTGTAATATATAGGGTGTATCTAAATAAGTGCAAAAAATTTTAGAAGATGATTCTTTGTCGAAAATTAAGGGGGTTTCTTATATAAATTCTCTTATATCTCTCCCCGAGGAGTTACATATTTACAGAGACCACCAAGTTTTATTTTTTTAATTTGCTTGAAATTCGAAAAAAGAAAAACTTAATGTTTATCTTCCTTTTTAGAAAAATGTAATTCCTTAGGGAGGGATATGAGAGTATATAGTTATTTAAGAAACCCTCCTTAATTTTTGACAAAAAATCATCTAAAATTTTTCGCATTTATTTTTATTTTTTTCTCAAATTTCAGGCAAATTAAAAAATGAAATTTGGAAAAACCACAAGTTTAATTTTTTTTAATTTGCCTGAAATTTGAGAAAAGAGAATGACTTAATTTTTATCTCCCCTTTCAGAAAAATGTAACTCCTCAGGGAGGAATATAAGAATATATGTTTATATAAGAAAAACTCCCCTTAATTTTCGACAAAGAATCATCTAAAATTTTTCGCATTTATTTAGATACACCCTATATAAGCGCAACCCTCACGGTTTTATCGTCGTAAAAGATTTTCAATGTCACATATCTTCATTTCAGGTTCGGGAGCCGCAGCATTGGCGCATCTTGACGGTGCCGGAACGGAAGATGCTGCAGTGGCGATGATCCAGAGGGTAACGGAACTCACCCTTGGATATCCCGAAGGTCGGCTGGAATTGCAGTTGGTCGGCGGTTACTCCGACCCGAGAAACTATTCCGAAGAATTATTCTACACTATACTTTGTAAGTAGAAATGTATTTTTTTAAAACATAATATGGAATTTCTCAACGCTGGAGTTTGTTAAATGTTTGTGGCTCCTAATTATATTACATCTGCAAATATAATCTGGCGAAATAATTATATTCTGTTTGAGCAGTAAATTAAATCATTTGCTCGAGATAAATTAAAGAGATTAACTAAACAGAACACACGTGGAATTTATATTTTACAAAGGCAGATTTAATCTGATAAAAATTAAAATGATCAACACTAGTAATGCATATTTGAACACAATGCGATATTAAATTATATAGAAATATTAAAATTATATTTTTCAAGTTTTTAATATGTATAATTGAATAAGTAAAATTGTATAAAATTACAATATGTTGTTGCGTTTTGTTTATGAATAACGATCGAACTTCCAGCTGCGTTTCACAAGCAACCTGTGGAAATCGACCTGACGTTATGTTGTGTGGGCGAGCTGAATACTACTGTGAGAGGTGGAATTCATTGGCCAATGATCTATGGTATTGGTTTGAATGTGAAAACGGGTGAGATATTTCCCGCGAGTTTCCCCGACAAAGGCCCGGATCAGCCGCTGCGATGCGCCAGACAATTGACCGGAGGTCAGCAGGTGCGTGTACGCAACGTTTGTATTCTATAGTTAAGCAAAACTAATGATCTACGTAAAAGAGAGAGCTCGTAGCTCGTGTGTGTTCAAATTATACATATATATTATAATATATAAATGAAAAAAATATTATTTTATATTTATTTAAAGGTTCTATCAATTTCTTATTTATGCACAGGTTCTGGATGTTTACGATTGCGGTCTTGGATTACTTAGAATTGGTCCATTTAATTACGATCCTTTGCGAGGCGTGGATCTCTGGTTGGCGCAATCCGACCAATTTATTCTGCAACATCTGTCAACATCACCGGAAGTAGAACAACCACATTTCGTCTCACAAGTAATTGCTAATTTATATATATTTTATATATTTATTATTATTAATCGCCTGGAAAGAGAAAGATACGCAACAAATCTAACTGCGCGCGCTTCTAAACAGTAGATGAACTTCTGTTTCAGGTACGAGCGACGCTCAAGTATATTCAGGACAATCAATTTCCAGCTGTCACCGTCTTCCGAGATAATAAACCTCATTACTATCGTCGGGATGAAACCACCGGTAACTGGCAGCCGATGCGATACTAACGTTAACATCGCAGATTTGACGAAGGCTTGCGTGGAAATTGTTCGCTAAAATTTTTGAGTGAGACACAAAACATAATATCAAATTGCGAATGAACGAAGTATGCGGAGTCATAGGAATTTAAATCAGTTACTGAAATGTGAAACTGCTTTTCTAAAAAATCGCAGTATCGTTACAGAATTGTTGTCCTAATGAACTCATTTTAAGAAAATCGATCCGCATTTATGACGACAATAGGGAAGTCGGCATATAATTGCAACTTTTGTTGACTGGCAATTATTTGTGTTCAACAAAAAAAAGACGTCCGAACCGGAAGAAACCGTGGGATCGAATATAGATTGAAACAGTCATAATTAGCGCATAGGTTGATGCCTTAATGTCTGCTCACAGTGGAATATCTCGTTAACCGCATTGAAATCGAGATGCAGATTAGCCTTTGAATATACATTGCCAAGTACGATTTGTAATATTTACAAATTAAATTCAAAGAGTAGAGCTTAACTCTATTATCATTATTAGAGTATAAGCTAGAAAAATCAATATGAAATAAAAATGATTTTGACAAACAATTTTTCAAAAATTTTAATATGCATTATTTTGCACTGAGGTTATATGTGTGCATATTTATAATAATATATATTTTTCTTTAAATACCTTTTATATTGAAAAAAAGACTTCAAAATAATGTTGAAGTATTCTTTTTATTATGAAATTAGGACATTTTTGATTATGAATTTTGGACAATTATATAAATTACATCGCAATCGAAAAATTATGTTTAGATAAATTAATATGAAAAATTTAATTATTCGCAAACTATTTATACAAAATTCTGAAAATTGTATGCGGATCTTTTATTTATCAGACGATTGTTCTTTTATAATTCACAATTGGAAAACGATATGACTACAAAATTTTACAAAAAAGAATAAAATAAAAATTTAATTTTATAAGGCGCGCACTCTTAGAAACATATGTTCTCTTTTTATAATTTTTTTAGATAATTATATAAAAATATGTGCGTAAATGACTTCAATTGTGAATATTAGGCCTATACATACTAATATGTTGGCATTGTTGAATTTCTTTTTAATAGAGATCTTATGTTATATATATATTTATATATATAAATGAACAACGATCGAATTCGATCCGTTGTTATAAGATGTTATTAGTCATATACCTATATGTCATTACTCTTTTGTTCTCTTCGAATTAACTTTCATCGTCGTCAGAGCGATAAAGCAACAATGTATATTCTCATCGCGCATTTAGTGTTAAATGTAATTGTTCGATATTTAATTCATCTTTACATTACGTACAATCTTTATAATTAAACAATTAATGCAATAATTGAAAATCACATTTGATGCTAACTGCGCGAATGCAGTGCAAATTTAAGCATACGCGTGTTGAATTAGACAAGGGCATTTATCCTTGTTCTTTTTCTTTTATTTTTCTTTCAACTGAATTACGAAAGTTCGAGCAACGAATCATTTCGTACTTGCCATAATAAAGAAAAGAAAGTTGTGCAAAGAGTAGAGGTGAAATAGAGGACAATGTATATAATATTTTCAGGGTTGTGCCCGAATTCTTTTCGGGTGAGGGAAAGTTCCTCTGCCTCGACACAAATATTTTAGGGGGAGACGCGAAATTTCTCGACGCGAAAATTCACACAAGAAAGATTAGTAATCGAGTAAAAGTTATCTCGCGAAAACTTTTACGAAAACTAATTTGTTTTCGTATACCTATTGTATACGTTGAAAATGCTAATCTTCTTTAATTATTTGAATATACGGAACACATTTAGACATCGTATTGGATCATCATTTACTTTGTAGAATAAAAACATCCAAGGTAAAACGATGCGACGCGTAAAAAATTGTTTGTCATTGTTTTAAGCATAATATACAAATGTATAATAAGATGGTGCAATTCTGAAAATCAACCTGAAAATGACATGAACGATTTATCTATAAGTTTGATTGTTATTTAGAAAGCGCGGGCGTGCGATCGCGATCGAAAAATTAAAATGACGAGGCCTTCCCTTACCTGTGAATTCATCGATTAAGCGGGAAAATAATTCCTCTCCGAATTGCATCCGAGAGTAATACACTTCCGCAGCCATACGAAAAAAAGATTTCGTGCATTTCGATACATGAATGCAGTTTTCATAGCTAAAGAATTTCGAAAAATTCAATGTTATATCATTAAGCGTTCCTCGTCTTTTAAGGCGAATATATATGTATATGTGATGAATATATCATTTTTTTAAAATGATATTTTAAGCGAAAAGTAAGTAATTTCTTCTACAGCTATGGTTTCAAAGCTTTGGAGTAGTGCATAAAGGAAAGGTGCGTTCACAATTTTCCATTGTTCTAGTGATACATAAGCTAATTGAGGTTGATATTAATTATAATAATGATGATAATGATATAATGATCATGATACTGCTAATGATGATAATGATATTTCCTAGAGAGATCGAAAAGAGATATATTTTTACTATATTATGTAAAAGAGCGAATGCACTCGCGACGATGAAGCTCTCAGGATCGAACATGCGACCCTTTTTTTCCCTTTCCATCTGCGCAAAGTGGAGGAAGTGTGGCGGGTGGTTTGCCACTTATTTTGTTGCTTCTGACAGGAGAATTATACGGCTTTTCTTGCTTGTTCGTAGAAACTTCCCGGTGCATTAATACAATTATAATACATATATATATATTTTTTATGTTCTTTATCGCGCGCGCTCTTTTTTGTTCTCTCCCCATTCTCGGCCTCGTCCTTACAATAGCGTTCCCGTTCGATCTCCTTCGCATTCTTTCTCGTGTTACGCAGACGCAATCTTACTACATAATATTATTTGGTGATATATTTATACAATAAACGATGCTAGACTAAAGCAACGTCGTCTTTGTTATTTTAAATCGCATCAAATCAAGCATTCGAGACGTCAATCACAACCGATTATGTTCCATAATTAAAATTAATGTTCCCACCTTCCTAATTACATATGATTTTCGTAATAAAGAAACAAATTCCTTTGCGCAACTAATTTAATCACGGAGCGATCGTGAATAACGCGACGTATTCTATATACGTTCAACTTGAGAAACCACCAAATGGAAACTGGTAAGGACAAAGTCGTTAACAAAGTTACAGATTGTTACATAGTATGCTGTAAACTATAACGTAAGTATTACGAAACTATTGTACCGCGTATGGTTTCATATTAGAATTTTGAACATGAGTATTGATTTTAATCGAGATAATCGCATATAATGATTATTCGATCAAATCTTATTCGAAGAAAAAATCGCAATGAAGAATGTTCACATTTTAATCTATAATTATTAAAATATAGTGTACAATATTTTCTATTTTTGAAACAATTATTGTATTAATTATATAACGAAACATATAGGTATAAAAAAATGAAATTGAATAAAATCAAATATGTGGGATGCTTAATTGTTTTAGTTAATCGTAAAGAAAATTGTTTGAATGATATTTATTTTAATCTGTCAATTAAATTTGTAAAATTTTTAAATCTAGAAAATTATTTCCCTTTTTCTGTCTCTCGTCTTTCTGAATATTAGATTCTTAAAAAAAGTTTAATATACGCTACAGAAATTTTTTATTAGATATGTTTGCATCCCTATTAATAGATAAACATTGCGCGCATATTTTGTTCAACATCAATAGCTTGTACGTGTGTGCAACCTGTTTCCTATTTCCTGGCAGTTATACAAGGAGTTGCTTGATTGTCAGCGGAAGGAAACTTCCGTTCGGAAAGTTCGTTATGAATGTCTTACAAAGTCTTCCGACATGCTTCGCTTTAGCATAAAATCCAGAATCCGTAGTGAGAAGTTGATAATTGTGTTGAAAAGTGATCATCTGAAAATAATATTCGACCTGAAAATTCTGAAGATTAACTCCGAACTTTTGTACAAGGACTGCGTTGCGGAGAATCTTTTTGAAAATTTTAATAAATCTTTCAAGAATCTTTAAAACATCCGCCTCGAATGTTAAAGATTTACAAAGCTATTAACTTCCCACGATTACAGATATTCAGACATAATTCTCATACACGACGATAAATTACGGTGACATCGAAATTGATTGCAAGAAACAATTTCCAAAATATAGTGTATTTTTATATACAGGTTTCAATATTTCAATTAATTTTTATTTTCCGTGAACACATTGTGTTGCGGCAAATTTAATTCTCTACAATTTTGAAATTTCTATTAAATTCTCAAAATAATAAAAATTTAAAGTTTCGTTAAATTACGCCAATAAATATATAATATTAAAAAAAAAATAATACTTCTATATATTAATACATTATTTCTAGGGATTAGGGGTCGGGAGGATTCAGAAAAAATTCAATTTTTACAAGAGAAATCTTACACCTATACATATATATGTATATTCTATTACCGAATAATCTAAATATCTCAAATATTTGGGGGAAGAAAAGAACTTCGCAAGGGGAAAAAAATGGAAGAAGCGCGACCAGAGGTAGGAGAGCCTCAGCGAATAGTGATGGACGACGGCTGCGCAGACTCCTTGAAAGTCACTCGGCCCGACTCGCAGTAGTCTACATCAAGCGCTTCATCCGACACGGTTAGTGCCGTCTCGTCGTCGGATCGAGGACGACCCCTTCCGCGTTTCCGCTCGTCGTGATCGCGCCACGTTTTCGGCAAATTGCATTGCGAGGCAGTCCCGAGCACACCCTTGTCCTTACCCTGGTGAGTTTTTAATACATTTTTTATTAGATATCATGCGATTTTTTTATTTATTAAAATTGTTTCAACAATTTTTCCAATTGTTTTTGCGGCACGAATTCGTAAGTTTCGTAAATTATTGATAGATATATAGAATTATTGAATAGATTTTCCACGGTATTTTATTTCGAAAAATTTTCAAAACGGTGCGCGTGTTGATATAATAATTTTCTGCAGACACATGTGTTTACATGCGGGTATGTATATTTTGCTCTTGTGAAACAGTAAATTAATACACCATAAAAAATCTGAAATTTAATGATTGGGAATAATATTGAATTGTAGAAAGAATCTCATTAGTAATTTGTAAAACATCTAAGTAAATAGAATTTTCTTATATGTATATTTCTTTTAATGTAAGAAGAAGTTATAAGTTTGAAACAATTTCAGATTTTACTTTTTTATGTCAATTACGTAAAGTAAAGACCTGTTCGAAATGTACCTATATTCTCTAAACATTCTCTTCGAGGATGATTATTCCAGCGGACAAACAGTTTGAATTAATTAAAGGTTTTGATTTATCGCAACGCATCAAGTTTTCAACGCATGTAACTCCAACTATATGTAACAGTTGCCTCGAGTTTCGACAAACGGTATTAGAAACTATATATTGCGGAAAGCACTACGCTTTATATATGAAAATATTACAGGTACTACGTGTTACATGCGCAGAATCACGAAAAAACCGTAAAATCTCATTTTTTATAAAATTGAAATATTGTTACATACGCATGGAAGTTTACTTTAATTTAACAAGCATTAATTTGATTTTGAGGTGAAATAATGCTCACTTTTCTATATTCAGTAAACGATGAACTAGTGATTTCGTTACGGCACATACGAGTTTCCCCGCAGTTCTCAATAGTAACTCCATTATGTCGAAAGCAGCTGCTCCTCGTAAATGGAATTGAAAGAAGAGTAACGATATTTAGTAACATGTAAGTTAAACTACGCGACTCTTACATGTTGCGCATAAATCGTGAGTCGCGGCGCATAATTGAATTGCGCGTTAAAATAACGTTAACAGCGAATCTTTTTTTACATAAAAGCAATAATTTTGAGTTATAACGACAATTTTTTTTCGAATTAAAGAAATTTCTCTTTCAAAACAAATGTAAAGATCAGTTTTATCGGAGATAATAATAATTCAACAATAGAGCTATAAAAAAATACTAAATGATGCATGATCATAAGAATATTTCTGCATTCTGTATAATAAATTATATAACAATATTATTTATATTAGAAGAAAATAATACATATATATGTAAATCGTTAATACACATATACATATATGTATATAGCTTTTGTTGCAATAATTTATATTTTCAAGTATTCTAAAATTTTATAATATAGTTTATTAAAATTTTTCTTTTTTTTTAGAAATGATGAATTTTTTCTAGAAAAAGTCCTTTCTAAAAAGTCCTTCAATTTGCCTTGTTATTTGAAGGCAGCATTAATTTCAGAGCGCACTAATGGTCGTAAATGAAGTAAGGAGAAAATCGCGGAAAATGTCAGTACTGTCAAATGTGATATTGTTTCCTGGAGCTAATCTTGGGTAATTGCAAATGTTCGTGTTACACAAGATCATAATTGACCATCTTATTTCTTGGAAACGACGAACAGGAAGTCCTTCACTTTCATTGTTGATTGATGTATTCGATGACCGCGAAAAAATCAAGATTGACGAACGAGAAGAAAACGTCAACGATGATACAACGTTATACTTTAAAAATTAATAGATTTCTATTCTTCGCCAGAGAGAATTTAAAAAATAATAAGGAAATTAATGATTAGTTCGACCATACTGGCTCTTATTAATAACTCGTATTTATTAGATATGAAGTACACTCATTGTGTACTTCATATCTAATAAAGACGAATTATTAATAAGAGCCAGTATGGTCCAACTAATCATTAATTTCCTTATTATTTTTTAAAATTAAATACAATTAGAAATATTTTTACAGTAAATCAAATACAATTATAAAGCATATTTTTACAGTAACAGCACGTTACAGGAAATTCTTATTTAAAGAATTAAATTAAATTAAGAGAAGAATGCACGCCCGCAGGATAGTAAAGCTGTTCGAATTACAACTTTGAATTGAAGTAAAGTTTGTCGTGAATTAAATCTCAAGTTTCCGAATAAATAAGACAGTTCCATGCTTCTCATATAATTTCCAATGGGGCTTTATTTTCATATAATTTTAATTTAATGCTTAAAGGCAAGATTAATATTATAAATTGAAAAATTATTCGAGGTAATTATGTCCAATTAAAATTTTCTTTTTTAGGAAAAAAAGATACAAAAAAAACAAATTTAAGAGCACTTATGTCAGTATTTATGTTCTACAGCGATATAAATACTGGCAAGTGCTCTTAAATTTGTGTTTTTTATTTATTACATAATTATATATTTTTTTAATCGCGTACATGCTATTATATAGGACACAGGACTTAAAATAGGATAGGATAAAGTTGTTTACAAAAGATATTTTCCTAACTATGCGTGTCTCGTAAAAAAATAAAATAAAGTAATAGATGTAATTGTTATTCGTAGTATAAATAGACAGAAATTTATATAAGTATGATGCGAGAACGATAATATTTTTAACGTACCACATGCGCAAAGTGAAATCTTCAGTTAATACAATTTCTGCACTAATGCAATATTTACGATTTGACAGGTATGTGCGAATGGAATTACGTGGCAAAATCTCTCTCTGTAAAATATTCGTAACATTAATGAATAGTTTTCCGCGATACGATTAGATTTTATTTCAATTCTCTTTTCCTCAATTGCTTATAATAGCGTGTATATATCAATTTTGTTTCACGTATCAATTGATTTAATATTTAATTATACAAACTTGTGTAAAATTATAAATAGTAATCTCGTTATTCTGTCTTCGTGTATTATAAATATTAAATTAATATTATCAATTTTCTGAAGGGGACGGAGAGATCCGTGTACATTTAATAATTAATATATATAATTAGTTCTTAAAAATAGATTAATCTCAAAAATAAATTCATCAAGATAGAATAATAAATAATTATTTGAAAAATCGATATTTTTATAAAAAAAAAAAAAAAAATTCTTCACACATTTTGTGTTTTCTGTTTCCCAACACTCCAGCGCGCTAATATTCTGGATGATGAGCAATTAAGCGGGCTATCCGCGACGTGCCGTATAAATTCCACCGATCTAATCAATTGCGATAAATTCTCCTGGTCGCGATCAAATTTCGCAATTTACGATCCTTCTTTGCCACACGGGGGCGACGATCTATTAAAACGTCTTCCCGAGCCTATCTTTTTATCTGCCAGTTTATCGACGCGCTGCGTCAAATGATGATCACCTATTCTCGCGCTCTTGCGAAAGGGGAATATTATTTTTTTTTTTTATCTCGGTCATCGACATTGTTGTCTATCGCGGAGAGGGGACGATTATTCTTCGATCGTGGTTTAGACGAGAGACGTAACTCACAGCCGCGTCGCAAAGTGGAACGAGCACGGCGATCCGAGATCGATAGCGCCGGCCTCGCGCTCTTCCTCATGCTCTAACCCGTTATATAGAAGAGAGCAGAGCAAGAATGACGTATTTAATCGGATTAAAGGGGCGAACCTCGCGAACGCCGCCCGTTTTCTTCTTTCCAGGGGCGGAAAACGAAGTAATCGACTTCGAAGAGCGATTTCACCTTTCACTTTATTGCGATGCATCTTGTACCTGCTCACCCCAATACGGTTCTCTCTCTTCGATTCCCTCTTGAGGGAATCGCCACTCCGTTGGCGTATCAACTGCTACTCCTCGGAGATTTATTAGCGAGCTCAATATTCCGGAAATGTCAATAGGAATAAAGAAAAGGGCTGAATTTTGATCACGTCACCCTTTCCCGAGACTGATCGGATATTTCAATTCAAATGTTTTTATTTCGTCAATTTAAAGACGCACTCTATCAAGGAGAAAAAATTGGGGCTTATATCATTTTCTTCGCCTATCGTCTTTTTTTCTCTCGGAGATATTATCATTTTTTATAAAAATTATTTAATGAAAATTCTTTAATTAAATAATTATTATTTTAATTAAATAATTATTATCATTTTTTACTTTCTTTCAGTACTGTGAATTAAATATAATCTTTCTCTACTAAAATGTCAAGCTATTAGTAATTCTTAGCTGATAAGTGCTTATTTTAACTATCCTTAATTAATAATCCCGAGTTCATAAGTTATGGAAAATAATTGCAAATCAAGTTTCCGGGAGATAATTAAATGAGAAGAGATCTTATATGAATTACTTAATATCATATGAGTTTAATTTTAATAATAAGTTGAAATTCACTTCACATTGAATATAGAGAAAAAGTCTTATCGAATAATTATGCCGATAAAAAAAGAAATCTGAATTCTCTTTTTCTCGAGAAAAAAAAGTGAAATAAATTAAAGATTGATATTCATAATAATGAATTGCTATATGTTTTGTGGCTTATTGTGCAAATAGGATAGTTGTAATAATAGCTCTTTACAACAATAGGGAGAGTTATAGACACTTTGACCTATAGACAGTTGACTTTGCGGAATTATCTGTAAGGAAGGTTTTGTCTCGTAATGAAAGGAAGTCTACTGGGCACAACTGTAACCTTTGTAAAGCTGATTGTAGATTTATCTCAGAGAGTTCTCTTAACACACATGTATATGTGTACTATATCGTTCGATGTACTACGTTTATTTTAAAAGATTTATTTTAAAAGATTTTATAAATATATCTGCTACATTTAAAATAATTTTATATCCTTTTAATTATTTGAATATGTATTATGTAAAAAAAAATATTATATATTATAAAAAAATCGATTATCGTTTTAATAAACTTATGTTCTAAGACTGATTTTCGAAAGGAGATTAATAACGCGCGATACATTTAAAATAATTTGATATCTTTTTAAATTATTTGAATA